ATGTCGGCCAAGTATTTCGACAATTGTGCTATATGAGCATATTTTTCAAATACATATTTATAGTTTATTTTGAATCCCAGAAAATTCTCTCTTTCTGTATATAGTGCCTGTTTCAGGTGAGGGGTTTCTGAATCTCGAGTGTAAATAGTAAACATTCTTATTATAGAGTTCACTTTAGATGTTTTTCAGCTCAGTTACTGTTTTTCTTCTACTTTTCCGTGTTCTGTTTAAATAAAATGAGTAAACGCCTCCTAATGTTAACGATCAAATCCTAAGAAATATGTCCTTCAACACGTCATATGTCATTGGATCTAATGCAATCATACACATAAATAAACAAAAATTTCCTGTTTCTCCATCCCTTTAAAAAGCTAAGCGCATATTAACACCAAAATCATAGCTAAAAACCCATTTTCAGTCAAGGGTCAGTGAATCGAAGATGAACGATACTTGTTTAAAAAAGGAGAATCCAGAGAATCCCTAAATATAAAAATATTTTTAATCAGATTTAAAATAGTCGTGCTCTAGTTGAAACAAGAAAGAACAAATTTTTCCAAAAGTATTAGGGAAATGTACTGTAATATTTCTTAGTCCAATTAGATATGGAAGTGTTTTATTTGAATGATTTTTTGTCTTCTAAAATAACATTAACAATAGTTTTTCAATGTTTTTAATGTTGTCGACGCAAGTTTCGATTTACTTTATGGATATTTTATTTCATTTGTAAAAGGATTAGTTCAATCGTGTAATAATCATTACCTTGCAGGATATTGTGAATGTTAGTGATATCCAACTGCAAGTATTAAAGCCTCGACGAAAAATAGAGTCGAATAATGCCTTATATCTTAGGTGGTATTCGATTGGATTAAAACAGAATATAAGGGGAGCCTCTGATTCAATTCATTCACCATGTTCATTTACATCTAATGTATTTCAGATTTCAGAAACAAGAAAGAACAAACTTTTCCAAAAGTATTAGGGAAATGTACTGTAAAAGGTATTTCATCTGAGTTACAGGTTTTAACGGGTTCGAGTGCTGCGATTTAAACTAAAACCAAACTCAATTCAGACGCACTTTTAGGTAAAAAATATTTACCTTGGTGGAATCAACTTTGTCTTGAATATTTTAAGTGTTTTGTTAAATACTATTACAATCTGATACTTGGATTTTTGTTCAGTACTGTAATATTCTCTGCAGTCTCATATATAAGGTGCAGGCAATGCGAATTTTCAGCAAACCGTTTTTTTACATCGTTTGACAGAATGTGAGTTACTAAGCACGAAAAATAATTTTTTACCTCACCCAAATACCTTTTCCAGGTCCAAAAATACCAAAAACTCGAAGATTGTTAGATTTTTCAAAAAGCACATTTTTTCCAAAACATGCCTTATATTTTGCTTCGTGCTTTTTTGATGCTTCTGAGAATACTTTTTCAGATTCAGCATTAGAAACTGAGTATAGACGAGTTGTTAAGTTGACGGCAGAACCAAGATTCTGTTGGTAGTAGCGCCTCGAATCGCATCAAGTGCACTACGTATAGATCGATTTTGTAAAGCTATCTACTTTTTCCACGTAAGTGATGGAATCAAACATTTTATCTCATTCGATTCATCATATCACCCCTCAGAACGCTGCGGATCGACTTTTTTCCTGTTCTTTCCTGTGTTGAGAAAAACCGGTTTTACTGGTACCATAGCCGTTTTAGGCGATATTCAACGGTTTTCGCATTCGAACAGAGAAAGATCACTTCTACATAAATTGTAAGTACTTCCTTAGGAAGTATTTACAGTGAAGAAAGATTTATTGTTCAAAACTTATGAACTTACTCTGTAACTACTTGCTAAGGAAGTAGTGCATTTAACGTTCTTTAAATGTGACCAAAGTTCAGCACTACTGTGACGAAAATTCGCCTCATGCAACGAAATTTTTGGTGTGTGTGACGAAAATTCACACTTTGATGACAATAGTTCCTGAGGAGTACCTGCCCCAACGAACTTTCGTCATGTATAACAAAAGTTTGTGGTGTGACGAAAATGCCATAATCCATTTTGTTAGCAAGCTGAAATTTCCACCGAAGGTAATAGTTATCGGTGCTCTTGAATATTTTTGAATTTACAATTTTTGAATCCTTCTCGTTTGCATTAAAAGTTGCTCGGGTTCGGATTTTTTCAATATTTCATTAGTTGTACCTTAGTTTTTAGATGTAGTGAAAATGTCTGTGAGCGTCTAAGCTGTTTGGCAATGATGGCCACTTACAGGCGATCCGAAATATCGGTCAATCGATAGACGTCAATTTTGTTGAGACGCCAAATGACTTTAGTTTAAACTTTTCGCCTGCCCATTCGGTCTCAACTGATTCTTGGCTGAGCATGTATTGAATGTCGGTGGCCAAAAATATGGATTGTGATGTTGTTGCCAGATTGTCCAACGATGAACTGGATGAAGAACTAGACGATGAACCGGCTCCGTTTCCACTGCCAGCGCCCCATAGGATGTTGATAGCTACGCTGGCTGCAACACTGGAAGCGACATTGGCTGTCTGTGCATGTGTCTTGTTTAAATCAAAATAGTTAACCGAATAGCTGTGTCGCTTTGTTTCAGTTTCGTTGTAAATAAACATTTTACTTATTTCACTTGTCAGACGGTCTGGATTCAGATCTTCTGGCGACCAAATTTGATCGTAGAATTTGATGTGCAGTTTTGTTTCATCAGCATAGGCTATATCTAAATTTTGAAAGAACTTCTTCGCCTATCCGATATTTCTCCTTTTCTTTCAACGAGCATCCAAACAATAATGAAGTTTAAAGCTTTTATTACGAAGAATGCGCACAAGAATGCGGAACGAATAGAGTGTACCTTGTCTGATCATTTAAATAGCGAGGAACTGATAAATACATATGTATGCGTTGTATACAAGCACGTGCCCAGAGGAAGAATGGAGATCGATCCATCCTGAGATACAAATAGATGGAGAGTGTACGGGATGAACCAGTTTCGGGAACCGAAATTAATATTTCCTTCATGGTGATCCCCCATGGACGGCCCATCTCCCCGAAAAAATTCCGGTGCACGCGCCTAGTTGTATATGCTACTATTTTGAAGAGGACGGTTCACTCTCGAGGATGGTCAACTTATTACGAAAAAGGAAAGTTTTGGCTTCGCAAAGTGAGAGGGTGCGCTGTGAGTAGACATGTGCACCGCGCCGGCAGCCTTTCGTGCTGTTTCGATAAGAAGAAGTACTCTGTCTGCAACCGGAAATCAGCACGAAAGCCGGATTGTGTATCAAACAAAATTCCCCTTACACGTAAAACTTCAAGAAAACTTGATAAAAATAACTTTTCCTGTACCTTGAAAAATACATCAAATAACGAGATTGATCTAGTAGATGTAACAGAACAAATAGACTCTTTTTATTTCACAGATACTTAAATTTGTATTTGTCATATCTCAGTATGTTGAATTGTAGATATTAATACAGAAGCTAATTTAAATCGCATTTTATTAAAATTTTTATTTAGTTCCACTGTGGAACTAAATAAAAATAAGCAATGCAAAATTTTTTCTGTACTTGAAAACCGTAGGGCTCCACTTACAGCTAACGCAGCCTGATATTGTAAGGTATAAAGCCCAGTTAAAAGACTTTCATATATCGATGTGTAGATACAATTGGCATAACCTATTGTTTGTAGAAAAAATGAATTATAAATCTGTTCAAGGACGATTGTCGACATTTTATATTTGAAGAACTTCAATAAGTTAATTATTTTATAACACTTGGTAGTAATATATTTTATGTGAGTTTGCCAACTTAACTCATTGATATTACAACGCCTAAACTTTTATGCTCTGAAACGAAATCTAGATGTGTCGTACCAATAGAAACAGGAGCAACAGGCAGATTAAAGGATTTTCTTGAGAATAGCATACAGAAGCATTTGGCAATATTTAGAGGCAGTTGTCAATCCACTGACCAATCATATGCTTTTTTCAGATCATTGTTCATATCAACTATTAGTTTCGTCCGGTCCTGATTGCAATGAGACGATGTTGTATCATCAGCAAACTTTCTGGTGATACCTGAACCAAAATCGTCAATGTAGACTGTCCATACTCAATCAACTTAGTTTATCGATTTTTCTTATTTGATTTCTATAAGTAGATTTTATTAATAACGAACGAACAGTCCAGAGCCCGTTTCCTCTGCTCCGTGTTCCTTTGTAAGACCAGAAAAAATCTTCTGGATCTCATCGAAAAGCTTTTAAGTTTTCGATCCTTCTAAGTTTCCTCAAGCATCCCTCAAACTATAACAGATCAGACGCCGAATTGAAATCGATAAATATGGTCGCCTCTGGCAAACTATTTGACGTTATCGACGATACTTGTTCAAGAAACAGAAGTACGCTCGTTTGCAGGCGAAAGTTTTCTCTGAATCCGGATTGCGTATCGGATAAGAGTCCTTTTCTATTTAATATATTAGGAAATCTAGTTAAAAATAGTTTTTCAGCGACTTTCAGAAATACATCCAACAAAGAAATACAACGAGTTTGAGCCAGGATCCAGATCGATTCTTTTTTGGCAAGTAGTAGCATTACAAAAGTGGTAGGTAGCTAAACATAAAATGAGATATACCGTGTGCATCACATGATTTCTCTTTCACACTAGATTTAACAATATTTGAGACCTCATCCACAGAAGCCGAAGGGATTACTCCATCGTAATTTTCAGAATCTGACCACGGCGCATCAGTATAAGGATGAGGTGGCCAGGTGTCTTAAAAATGCCTTCATAAAAGTCGGCGCCAATATATGTCATCTTATCGGGACCCTTAGTTATTTCTTCCGTTGGTGGAATGAAAGCATGTAGAGAGGACGATGAAAGTTTGAAGAACTTTTCGTTTTTGACCAAAATGAAACAGAAATAGCTGAAAAGGTATTGTGCGTTCCTAATGCGTATGTCAGTTGAGATGCTAGAAAAACTTTTAGTTCTTTTTTAGCATCTTTTAAATATAGTACGTGTACACGTACTATATTTGTAATGCTAAATCGCGGGTACTAATCTGTCTAAAAGATAAAGCACAAATATATGACATAAATTCTGTAAAAATGAGTGATTTAATATTTTGTATACTTTTCAGCGCTATCTGTTCGATGTGCATAGTGGAAATATGATCTTCATTCTCACGAGCAAAACTCTATATGTCGATGGTGGTTAAATCATTTGAGTGGCTGACTCTCACAGCTACTCACCCTTTCAGAACATTTGATGTATAATTATACACACTCTGATAGTCTCATACTTCATATGCAATCTCACCATTGGCAAACTTAAAGTCATTTTGATGAATAGGTAAGCGTTTTCAGCTATCAATTTTATTAAAATGGAACCAAACCAACATCAAGTCTATCGAAGCACTTTTGTGATGCAATCATGGATAATGTATCTTAAGGCTCGAAAAGAGATCAATTATCAACGTAACCAAGATCTCCAATTAGCCGGTGGATATCAATTTGACATGTTATCTAAACTGTGCAGTCTAACTAATGTAACTGTTACTGATGGTCTAATTAAGTTCAATTCAACTAACTACATTACAACAGATGTTCAACCTTGGCAGTTGTTCGACAATTAAACAGAATCAATAATTAATGTATTTACTTCAACTACGTCAAACAACTTTTATGAATCCCTCAAAATTATCCGAGGTACAACTGAAGGAAATGTGTTACTATCATCACTATCAATAAGTCAAAAAATGAACATTAGCCCGACAATCTAATCACAGTCGATCATCAAACATTTATGTCGCAACACTGTGGCATGTACTCAACCATCTGCAATTTACTCAAATTCATCCTCATTTGTATTTCTTGTCTAGCGTCTGCTCACGGGCTGTTCAGTCATCGAATCTCTGTTACAGTCCGACCTGTTATTCTGCTATAATCAGACCAATGCTCAACTCTTAATGTCATACTTGACAGGCTCTGACTCAGTAAGGTGCACGCAAAGCAAAATTTTTTTTTCGATAAAAGACACATATTCGGATTTGCCTATTCATGCTGATCACGAATATGACCTTGAAAGTTGAAAAAAAACTTTTTTTCGGGGAGAAAAATGCAAAATACTGAAAAGGTCCAAAAACTTCGAAAATTCTTGGCCTTTCGAAAAACACTCATGACTTTTTATAGAAAGTAGCTACAGGCTCAAACTCTTTTTTGTTCGATTCCTCGTCGAAAACTGGGTATATCCATACTAGTTTCAGACTCTTAGACCGTAATTTGAAATTTTGGCGCTGCTCGCGATAGAAAACCCTGAGAAATGAGACCCCTCCGCCAAAAACCTATCTAGTTTTTTTAGTGAGGACCTAACTCATTGAATTTTATGCCATTCGATAGCTCTATACTCCAGCTATAGCCGTAAGGAGGGGTTTTGGGAAAAAAAATTTTTTCGTTGAGAAATAGCATTTTTACTAAAAATCAAGAAAATCCCAAACAGTGCTTTTTTCAACTGTATGCTATTTTTAATTTTTAAACTTTTTTTTTGAGCTTTTGGGAGGCCAGGGTTGATAGAGAGGTGGTTGGCGGGACCCACGATGATCCTTCGAATATTGGGAGTAATAATCATCTAAGGTTCTATAGGTTTCTTTCCCTAGGCTACGTTTTTCTTCGCAGTG